ACCTTAATAATCCATCTATAATTGATGAGAAGTTAAAAAAACATAACCACCAAATTAACAACAGTAGAAGTATTTTCAAATGTCTCCTGACCTGCTCTTAGAGTACTCTTCTTTTAGGTCAGTGTTTTTTAACCAAGAGTCCCCATTAGAGTAAGGTGACCAGATTTTAACATTGGTAAAGTGGGACACCATTGATAAAATTCATATCCTGGCGAAATAGCCACATGGCAGCCGAAAACCGTATACCCTAGCTTGTCTTGCATTCTTATCAAAAATCCTGACTTTTTAAAAATGACGCGGGACAAATTTAAAAAAATTGTGACTGTCCCACCAAAAGTGGGGCGTCATTAGAGTCACTTTTTTAGTGTTGGGCTTTTTCCTCCACCTCTCCCATTCTCCTTAGAATATTGAACTATAGAATTGGAATCTCTGAGGTTACAACCTGAACATGTTTTTTTCAAAAGCTTCCAAAGTCATTCCAGTGTGCTTCCCTAATTAAGGGCCATTCACCCTAGTAATTTGCTGGTATAGGTAGTGCCTAAAGAAAAATTTGACACTTTATGTGAATTATTTTACTTCATTGGCAACTCACAATCACTTTTGCCACTTTTTTTAACTGTATTACTAAAACATTTATTGACAGATAATTTTTGACCCTTGAGCTTTTATTATATCATCTAGGGACACTGAAATAAAATGTCTTTGGCATAATATTAACTCTCTAACTTGTAATCTGTTGAAGTTTTGAAAGAACTTTGAGATTAGACAGGTATTCCTATCCAAATGCAGAATAGTAAGTAAGATACACTGAAACTCTTCTTCATTGGATTACCCGAATTAGAATGTATTCTGACTTCGGAATTTGCTTTTCCAGATACTGGATTTGGCACTACTACTGGAGGGGCATTTGGAACATCTGCATTTGGCTCTAGCAACAATACTGGCAGCTTGTTTGGAAATACACAGACCAAACCAGGTAGGGGTTTTATTTGGAATGTAGATGGTGATGTATTTGTAACTGGTATAGGTTTCATGGAGTGGCTCAGATCTGTCTTCCTAACTGTATTTTCTCCTTACCGCCCCCCTCCGTCTCTTCCCAGGAGGATTATTTGGTACCAACTCATTTAGCCAGCCAGCCACTTCTACAAGTGCTGGCTTTGGGTTCGGCACATCAACAGGAACATCAAATAGCTTGTTTGGAACTGCCAGCACAGGAACCAGTCTATTCTCATCCCCGAACAATGCCTTTACGCAAAACAAATCAACCGGCTTCGGGAGTAAGTGGGACATTATTGGGCTTCAGTATTTAGCATTTTGGTTTCATTGTTAAATATGTTTGTGTTTCCTCTTTTCCCTCCATCTAACCCATCTCCTTCCCTGCCCCACCAAATGACAAAAACATGGGAGAAGTTTTAAAAATTGTGTGGTTATTGAAAAGTTCAACAGACTGGAATAAAGGGGGGGGTATAATGTGTACTTCTGCCCAAGAATGGAACCCTGAAAACCATTATTATTTAAGGGCTCCGTGGAAGAAAGGGTGCTTGATAAAGCATGGCCAGCAGTAGGATGAAAAGTCAGGTCAGAGTAATGGAGTTAAGCGGGAGAATTTCAAGAAGGAATATTGTGTAGTCAGCATGTTGTGCCACCTTGAAAGTTTCTTCGTGCCTTTCTCACTTGGAATGAGGAAACTAGAGCATTGATGACAAATGCTGAACATGACATGGTTAACTTCTCATTTTTGGTCCATGGCATATGCTGCTAATTGAACGTAGCTTTATTTTTCTTTTTAAGTCTAACTTTGGCCTGAGAATAGTTCTACACATAACATTTTGAGGCAACCACTGCTAGTTGACCAAGTGTGCCATATGAAGCAATACCATTCCCTGTACTAGAATATGGAAGAATGAATTTTTAGGCATAACAACGTTTTTAAGAAGAAACGTAGTTTGAGATGTTGAAGTAGGTAATGATGTAAAATGTAATTTAGAGTGCTAGTGATTCGAGAGAGATATTCATTTACTTCAAGCTATTGCCTTTTTCTTTTAATATTAATAGTGTTATTAGCACTTCATCCACCTGTCGAATAATTCATTCATATTCATGTACAAGAAGAGTTGTACGGTTGTCACCATATTCAGTTCTAGAACAGTTTCTTCCCAAATTGTGGCAAAAATAAACACAACAAAACATTTTCCAATTCCACAACTTTACTCGTATAATGCAATGCCGTTGATTATACTCTTTGTGTTATATAACCATTGCTAACCTTTTCCAAATTATTCTATCACCATTGACATAAACTCAATGCTTCTGTGCAACAAGTCTTTCTCATTTCACCTGTGGTAACCATTGGTCAACGAAAAAATTAATGGTCAACATACGATATTTTTTTAAACTTATCCTCCAAGTATGCCCAAAGAAAGTTTTATGAATATTTACTTGTTAAAAGGGTTCAGACATTTTCTTTTTCCCAAAAAAGAATTCTTAAATTCCTTTCTGCTTGCCATCTCATTTTTCTTTCTAATTTACAGATTTTGGAACAAGTACTAGCAGTGGAGGGCTCTTTGGAACTACAAATACCACCTCGAACCCTTTTGGTAGCACATCTGGTTCCCTTTTTGGGCCAAGTAGTTTTACAGCTGCACCTACTGGGACTACCATTAAATTCAATGTTAGTATTTTCTTTTAAACCTTGGAATATGTCTCTCTTCGATTTTTCTGTTTTCTTCTTACAGGGTGAATGATAAAAATTGTTGCTCTTCCATTTATAGATAATTTATTTTGATTTTTTCTGAAAGATGTATCAAAAACCAAAATTTGCAAATATTTGCATAGAGAGGAGAAAGGGTCATGAAACAGATCTCAATTGGCATTGCACTTAACCCAGTCAAATGCACTTGTACTCCTACGGTTGGACTTAACAGGTTTCTTAATTTGGCCTTTTATTTCTATAAGGGAGCACCTTTTAATATCTGAACCATAAAAAAGACAATCCAACTAAAAACACTTAAGAAGAGATTTAGATGACCAACAAACTTGAAGAAATGCTTATAATCATTAGCCATTTAAAAGAATTCTAATCAAAGCAATGAGATATTATCCCATTCCAGCATTTAGAATAAAATAAAACAATAATAAGTGCTGGTGAAAGTATAGAGATTAGAACCCTAATAATACTGATAGTAGGCTTATTAAACATTTTACCCACTGCGGAAAGCAATATGATACTTCTGTAGAAAGTTAAAAATAAAAGGATTTAAAATAAAAATTTTTAAAAAAGTTATAGACATCATGAGTTAGAAAGGGATTTTTATTTTTGCTATGTAGAATTTCTTTTTTTTCCTATTAATGTTTTCTAAAGAACTTATAAAAAAATTTATAGCGCATAACAGTCACTATTCTTGATAAATGTTAATTCTTAATCTTCTGTAAAATTGTTCAAAACTTGTCTCTATGATACATTAGGAATCTGAGGCTACTATTTTACCTTATTAGCCAAAATTAGTGAGTTAATTTTAAATTGACTCCAGGGAGAGAAATAGGCATTTGCAGTTTTTAATAGCGACTTGTAAACCTTGCTGACATTAAAGAGAATACCTTATGTTTTAAAAAGAAGTAAAAATACCATTATGATACAGCAATCCTATTTCTATATCCTAGAGCAGTAAGCCATATGGAGCCCTGGTGTACTCTCAAAAAGAGCCATGATACAAATAGATATATGCACAACCACACTTAACAGCACCACTAATCACAAGAGACAAAAGAAGCATACAACCTAAATGCCCAATAGTGGAAGAGTGGACAGGTCAGGATACACACAATGAAACTATGGAACATTAAAGAATAACAATCTACAAAATGTGGATGAGCCTTAAGGGTACTATGCTTAGTGAAACTAGTTACAAAAATACCAGCAGAATTCAAAAAAATTTTCACACAAACATGCTTTGGTTAACTGGTGGGAAGGGAAAGGACAGTAAATCATAACATGAAGGTAGAAAAATTAATAAGTAATAGTATTTTCAGAATTCATTTGTAGAAGAATTGTGTATGTGAAAGTAGCAATATAAAACCTAGACTTTTCCATATGCCGCCATCTTCTTTTGCAGCCTCCAACGGGTACAGATACTATGGTCAAAGCTGGAGTTAGTACTAATATCAGCACCAAGCACCAGTGTATTACTGCTATGAAAGAATATGAATGCAAGTCACTAGAGGTCAGTAAAGTGCAATACAAACTATCAGGCCAATCCTTTCATTCTACTGGAAAGCACCTTTTCTAATGGGTTGATGATTTTTAAGGTGAGGTGGATCATAATGAATTTATGTAAACTTTAGCACAAGCCACATTGTTTTGAAATTCATAATGTAGGATTCAGTTCATTAGAATTGGTGTATTTCTCTTGATAGTCTGTTCTGATTTGGTGGTGGTTTATGCTGTATACTGAATTGTGTGTGTGAATATAGTAAACTAGTTGAAGTACAACTTACAGAAAAGTTACAAAGCCTTAAGTATACTTTGACTTACGAGCACACCCATGTGTCCAGGATCCAGATCAAGAAGCAGAACATTACCAGCATCCCAGACATTCCCCTTGTGCTCTTTAGTCACAATCCTCCTCTTCCAACGTCAAACACTATCTCAACTGCCCATTTTTGAGCTTTAGATAGCTCTAAATTTATATAATTTTTATGTCTTCTCCTTTCATTGTTGTCAGATCCATGTAGTTGCATAAAGTTCATTCTCATTACTGTTCCCTGTAATGTTAAAATATTTAAATATTTTAACTGTCATCCTGATGAGAGCCATTGCTGCAACTTCTATCTACATCCCAAACTTGCTTTTTTAGAACATACATAAATACCCTGACTTGAGAACAAAGCTGTTGAAACATTGCTCCCAATTTAAAACTTTTTCAAAACAAAACTTAATTTTTCATCTTTCATTAACTAATTTATTTTTTATTGGTCATTTTAAAAATGCATATAATAGTTTTATTAACATATCTTAACACAATCCAGTATATCCATTCACATTCAGTTTTGCTGTTCAATCCCATTGAGTTAGGTTATACAATTCTCATTGCTATCAACTCCTGATTGCCCCCAGTGCTAGTTTGGGTTGACTAGAGAAACAAATTAATAGATATGTGCATGTGTGTTAGACAAAAGTGTATATCAAAGAGCAACTGTCTATTCAGAAACAGCCCAGTCCAGATCAAGTCCATAAGTCCGATATTAGTCCATATATCCAATACCAGACTATAAATTCCTCTTCAGACTCACGAAACACATGCAATGATGCCAAATGCGGGAAGATCACAGGCCAATGAGTGGAAAATCTTGTGGATCCAGTGACAGTAGAAGCATCTCAGCTCTGGCAGGAGTCTGCAACTGGCTCCTTCAGCTCCAGGGCTGTAGCATAGCTCAGTGTGTCTTATCGGCAATCATGTCTCGCAGGGAGTGAGTGTGTTTCCTGCCTCCAGCAAGCAATTTTATCTCCTTAGCACCTCCTAATGAGGTCATCAAGCTGCGACCTAATTTACAGTTTAAACCCCACCCCTTCACCCTTAAGTCTCAAATTGACTACAGATATATAACTACCACCACCCCTTCCCTTACTGATTATTTTAAAAGGCTGAGATTATAGTATGTAGGTATTTCATCTTCATAGTTATGATAATGATATGGATTGTTATGCCCACTGTAAATTATTAGAAACATTTTAAAATAATGATACCAAAAGTTAGTGTTATTCTGTAGTTTTCTTTTAGCCATGAATCCCTATGTGATAACTTTTGAGAATTGAGGTATGATTTTCTAAAAAACTTTCAGGGCTGCATATTAAGATTGGAAGTATTTTCTTATTCTCCTTAGGAACTTCGTTTAGAGGATTATCAGGCTAACCGGAAAGGTCCTCAGAACCAGGTGGGAGCAGGTACCACAACTGGCTTGTTTGGGTCTTCACCAGCCACTTCCAGTGCTACAGGACTCTTCAGCTCCTCTACTACTAATTCAGGCTTTGCATATGGTCAGAACAAAACTGGCTTTGGAACTAGTAAGTATTGTCATCATATTGGACCATATTGAGTTTTTTAAGCTGAGAGTTGGCTAATAGGTGCATGATTTGCAGTTTGTTTTTTTTTCTTCTTCTGTGACTGGTCAAAATGGCCTCAGGTTTAACTATAAAAGGTATATGTTATAGAAAACATAAAGGTATGCTTGCTTATTGGCATGTGCTTCCCTAGGCCATTACGGAGCCCTGGTAGTTTAGTGGTTACCCGTTGGACTGTGATCCACCTGATCAGCAGTTTCAAACTACCAGTCGCTCTACAGGAGAAAGATTGGGCTTCCTACTCTCATAAACAGTTATAGTCTCTGAAACCCACAGGGGGGTTCCTATGAATCAGCATTGACTCAGTGAGAGAGTTTGGCTTTTGGTTTTCCCTACGCCATTAGTCTGACATGTAGTTCAAATAAAAGCTACACAATTGTTAACTTTTAGATATAGTGATAGCAGTGCAAATAATGAGTCTTATCATTTACCAAATTTATTGCAAGCCTTGCACGTGCCAAATACTGTTCTTTCTAGTTGTTAGATATAAAGAACAAAACAGACAATAGCTAAGAACCTGTTAGAAAAGAAAGACACGAAACAAAGTAAAGCATTATTGTCACATTGTAATAAATGCTATGCAGAGCGATTCAGGTATGCCGGGGAACAGAGTGATTGTTATGTATGTGAGGATGTGGAGAGATGCAATTTTAAATACAGATGGTTACGGAAGTCTTCACAGAATTGATGGTTGAGTGGTGATCAGTACGAAGTAGGTGAAGGTATAAACTTTCACGTTTCTGAGGAAAGAACATATCAACTAGAGGAAATGATAAACCTAAAACATGACTTTTTGCTAAGGAGAAGAAAGCAAGGAGAAATACTAGAGAATGTTGAGTATAGGACTCTGGCTCAACATCAGGAGATTCTGAAAATCATTGAGATATTTTGAAAAAGGATTTGCTATAGATTAAGGGTCATTTTTGAAGATTGCTTCACTGAAAGCTTGTAAGGCAACAAGATTTGAAACGTTAGAAAGCTGTTGCTGTACCCATGGGAGATTAATTGATGAGGATGCTTTAAACAAAAGTGTATGGAGGCAACAAAGGAAGGCCAGATCAGTTGCTTGGCCTGCCTTCTCAGATTCCTTTGAAGGGGCAGAAGAGCTGGAGAGTTCTTTCTTTTTTTTTTTTTTTTTGTTAAATACCCGTTTTACTAGTGTGTGGGGGGCTTTCTGGTAGAAACCAGAAAACCTGCTAGACAAATTCTAAAAGAGCTGTAACACTTGGAGAGTTCTTTCTTGACCAACGTTCTCTTATAAGATGGGTTTCTGTGGAGGGAGGGGCTCCATTTCATACAGAACTGATGAGGGTTACCAATGAATGATTAGATGTGGCGTGTGAAACAGGAAAATAAAGGAAACCACAACATTACTTTTTAAAAGCTGTAGTCTAATGAAGTGAAAGAAAATATATGAGGTGGGACTTCAAAAAGTTTGTAAATAAATGTTTGGGAATTTTGAATCAAGCAAACTATTTGAAGCTCTGTTGTATATGGACTCAGAATGTAATGTGCTGTCTTATAGAATGAAGAAAGCTATGGATTCACAAAAGAAGATCCCAACTAGCTTTCCTAGGGCCAGGAAGTATTAATGTATGAGTTGAAGTCTGAATTTGGAGTTAGGCAAAGAAGGTTAGGAAATAAATGGTCATCCATTTTGAATAGCAAGCATAAAGATAATTTAGCTGTGTAATAAATAACTTGGGACCATTGCTGTGACTAGATACTATCAAGTGTAGTGGTGGGTTTGTTTTGTTAATTACATTTTCTTTTTACCGGAAGGTACAACTGGATTTGGAACAAACCCAGGCGGTCTCTTTGGCCAACCGAATCAGCAGACCAGCAGCCTCTTCAGCAAACCATTTGGTCAGGCCACAACCACTCAGAACACTGGCTTTTCATTTGGTAATACCAGCACTCTAGGACAGCCAAGCACCAACACCATGGTAACTAAATAGAACCTTAGTTAACTCTAACTTATTTATAGTAGTAAGTTTAAGGCTTCTGATCATGTGAAACTAACATGTTTATACCCACTGAAGTTCTTAACCATTCATAGGTATATAATACAATGAAAAGTAGAAATTATTGAAATATTAAGAACTAGATTTCAGGCCACCTTCTATTCTTTATGTAGAGTATATTGAACAAAGTGACTTGGCCTTCCTGAAAATGTTTTTCCATTACTAAGGAATATCTGTATCTTGGCTAAAAATTGATTGTTCTGAAACTATACCTTATGTCCTTGACTCCAGTCAGTCTGTGAGGTTTGGGAAAAATATTAATAATGCCATTCCTATAAATGGAGGCAGACTCTTCCCCCCCCCCAAAAAAAAAAAAAAAAAGGGTGGGGAAGGAAATAAAAAACCTCCGAGCCATATTTGGTAACTGCACCTTCTAGAAAGTGAAAGATTGTCCTAATAGTCATTACCAGTTTGTTTCCTAGGGTAGCATAAAAGTAAAGGTTGATTTGATATGTGGTTTATTGATTAGAACTCTTGGAATTTACCTCTTTCAATTACAGGTACTTAGCCTGATTATAAAACATACACAGCTAGGCTCTGAAACTTACTATAATGAAAAATTATTGAACACACTTTTCATGGATGAATGTCATAATAAGCTGTTTTCAAGGGAATTCTCAGCACCTCAGTATTCCACTAGTGTAATATTTCTCTTTCATTTACAAATGAAGAAGGCGTCGTGTTTTTTTTTTTTTCATTTCAGATGATGACATTTTAACATGATGTTCTTGACTGTTCAGATTGATTTGGCTATTTTCAGTTATTTGATTTAAAATCCATTTAAACAACAGTCAGCTCTTAGGACTACATTTTAAAACATACGTCACCCTGGCATCTCTTTAGAGCACACCATTTTTGAGCTAATGTTCCCCAGCACAAGACTGTAAAGACTGTAAGCACAAGTTAGTTTTTTAAGTGCTTGGAAGCTTTTATGTTGAAAACAGCAGGACTTGGATGCAGGTTATGAATTTGTGATCCTGCCTCTTAGGAGTAGTGACATTTTGGGCAATGTCTCTTGGGCAATGACATTTGGGCAAACTCTTTTCATGTGGGAAATGGAGATTATCTGAGTTTTTCAAGATTATTTTGAGGAGAAGAGATGTTCTATATAAATTAATATCTGCCACATAGTAAACTTCTGTTTAAAAAAGGTAATTATTCGTACTAATCTGGGAAACTTCATATTTCAGAATTGGCTTGATGGCAGCTGGTTTGCATTAAAGAAAAAAAATGTTTGGTTCTCTTAAGTATAAAAGTAATAATCTTTTAATCTAGATTCACTTTTTGTAGGGATTGTTTGGAGTAACCCAAGCCTCACAACCCGGAGGTCTTTTTGGGACCGCTGCAAACACCAGCTCTGGGACTGGATTTGGCACGGGAACAGGTCTCTTTGGGCAGACCACGACTGGATTTGGTGCTGTTGGTTCGGTACGTTTTTATATAGTTGATTATAATTTGAAGGCAGGTGTAAATCTTTTTTTATTTTCTGGTGTAAATATTTTTTAAGGGTTTCTAGATAAACATTGATTTGATATACTGAGTGCAACTAGCCACTAAAAGTTATTTGATGCAAAGTAAAATAGCTTGGTAACATCAGCTGGTTTGTTTTCAACTAGTAATTCCTTTGCCTCTATGCTTATGTGTGCAGACTACTTCTGAAAGCAAAAGTATCACTCCAGTAAGTTAGGCCCTAGTTCTACTCTTTCCTTTGTGGAACAAAAATAAAAATATTTAAGTAAAAAGTTACAATTTAGGAGTGCATTTGACCTGGAAACAGAATTAGCAAGGTGAATAATATATAAAATTCGATATTACTACTTTCTAAAAGACCAAACTGGGTATAAGAATCTGTGAAACAACCGATCTATACTATGCATTCATTATAAAAAGAAGCCCTTAACTTGTTAATGAAGGTAGTTGCAAAATCAAAAAGGAAACACAGTCCCTAAGACATGGTCCTATGTTCATAGAATTTTTTAAAAAATTTAATACTTCTGAACTTAGTTTGGTGAGAAATTCAGAAATTTATATAATGTCTCAGAAAGCTTTAACTTTTTTTTTTTACCAACAGCTTTATTAAGATGAACTATACTATTTGCCCCCTTAAGGTATACAATTCAATGATTTTTTTTTTTAGTATATTCAAAAAGTATCACGCTATAATCAATTTTAGAACACTTTTATCACTGTAAAATAAACTCCATACTTAACTGCCAATAACTCCCCCTTTTCCCCAGCCCTCCAAACAAGCCAATCACTAGTCTACTTTCTGTTTCTATTGGTTTGCCTATTCTGGACATTTCGTATAAATAGAGTTGTTCAACATGGTGTTTTAGAACTGGATTCTTTGACGCGGCATTATGTTTTCAAGGTTCATCTATGTTGAAGTATGCTTACATTTTTTATTGCAGCTGTTCATATTGGCAATTTTTTTTTTATTAATTTCTGTTACCCACTAAACAATGATGGTTGTCTAGTTAATATTTTCTTTAATCTAAATGAAAATCTTGTTTGCTAAGAGATTTTCAGGCTACGATACTATTTTTTCAGCCAGAATACTCAGTCTGGTTTTTTGTGTGTTTCACTTTAAGATTTCAATGTGTATTGGGTGAAGATTTACAGAACAAATCAGCTTTTCATTTTGTTTGAATCTCATTGATTGCAACCCCCAGAGTGAAACATCACTTACCTCATTTCCTCTCGTTTCCATTCTGTCTTCTTTACTAACTATTCTGAACTCTATCCTTAAACAAATGCCGTCCTTTTGATCTCAAATGACTGATTATTCCAAGTGTACCTACCTCCTTAGTATTGTTCCCCTTATAGACCTGTCTTTTGTTTGGCTGAAGATTGAACCATGAGGGTGAGTTCATTTCCAGATTTGTGAGGGGTGACTAAGGGTCATAGTCTTGGGGGTTCCATCAGTCTCTCTGTCCACCAAGCCTGGTCTTTTCTATGATTTTTGAGTTTGCGTCACATTTTTCTTCTTCTCTTTCTAGAACCTTTTCATATGCTTCCTTTCAGAGCAACTAGTAGTGGTAGATAGGCACAATACAGTTCTGTTCTAATGGTCCTGGAGACTAATGTTAACATGATCCATTAATTCATTGGACTAATTGTTTCCATGTATCTTCAACTTTACACACACAAACACAATGACAGGAAGAAATAGGGTAGCATATTCTGTGTTCATGAAGTTAGACCTATTTAGGTTACATTTGTTAGTTTTTCTGATTTTTATTTCTCATTCTTAAGGTTTTTATTAAATATATCACTCCCCCCAACTCATTTCTCCACCCAATTCTTGAGGTAACCTCTATTTACTGTTGCACATATATATTCATATTTAAAAGGTGTTTTTTTTTTTGTATTCTGTTCTTTTTAGACCCTGTTTGGCGGTAACAAGCTTACTACATTTGGAACCAGCACAACCAGTGCTCCTTCATTTGGTACAACCAGTGGCGGGCTCTTTGGTAACAAACCAACCCTGACTTTAGGAACCAATACAAACACTTCCAATTTTGGTACATATAAAAAGCAGGTTTGACTCTCTTAAAGTTACACTGACTATATCACACATCATTCTCCTGATTCATATGATTGGTAATATTTTAAAAATATCAGGTAAGGAGTGACTTTGTATGAGGACCCAGAGGGAAATGTTTAAAATCATGAACATAGATTGAGAAAAGTAGAAGATTGGTAATTGCCTTTCCTTGTACAAATTCTAGTCTTTCTAGTTTTTATTTGTATATTAGTCTTTCTATTTTGGACAAGTGCACTTGTAGACTACTTACTAAATAGCTTGTTATTTAAGGGAGGTAGATATTTTTATTCACACATTCTTTGATCACTTGACACAGGAACTGAGGAAACATACGTGAAACAAGCTTGGTTTAGGCAACGCATTCTGTTAGGCCAGTTTTCAGTTGGATGATTCTTAGTGAAAGCTGAAACCTTTCTGACTTTACCAACTAATACAATGATTTTCTGGCAGTTTCAAAATTTTTATTTTTCTGACTTTATCACTGTGATGTTCATTATTTCTGATCCGATTGAACAATTAAAAATATATGTAACCCTAAATGACTTTTCAGAGATAATGCTGGAAATTGTAAAGGCCAGATAATAGACATTTTATTTCTTTATTTTGAACATTTTGTTGTGGGTATGGTTGAAAGTTTATATCTCAGAGAGCAAACTAGTTTCCCTTTCAACAATGTATACACATTTCGCTTCTTGACATTAGTTGCAATCCTTACAATGTAGAAGCACATCCTGCTCCTCTTGGGTTTCTATAGGACTTCTCACACCCCTGTTCCCATTAGCCTTTCTTTCTTGCCCCTTTCTTGTCTCCTGAACGTTGGAGACAAGTGCTGCCCCTTGGTGTCGTGGTTGATTATTCAGAAGAGTACATTCCTTGCATTGTCCATTGTAGAAACATTAGTTAAAATGTTTCTAGTCACCAGCTAGTAAGATTTTCAAGTGAATTTAACATTGTGTTAAAGCTGATGTGGAAACTTTACTTCTCTATAAGGAAGGTATAGTTCAAATATTTGTTTAGAATTTCATGTGCACTGATCGACTCTTTAGAGGAGGTTAGCACATGGGTAATAGCTATTTGGTATTGTTCAGCAGTCACATAGTTCTTTAGTCAGTTTATCATGTAGTGGAGAAAGAGAATTTATTAAATATCTTTGAAGGTTATATGCTTTTTAAAAAATGTATGAAGGTTAGAGAAAGGTCCTTGGCAGGTACCAACTCCTGATTTTATTTGTTTTGGTTTTTTTAATTGCTTTTAGTTGTGTTGCTTGTTACTCCTCACAATGGTTGTCGTTTCACCTATAATCCTGTTTGGTTGCACCCTACTTGAAAGAATAGTTTTGAGGCACTGGAGTTGGTTAGCGCAGGTCAGATAACTAGCTTGGTTTATTTGGGTTTCTTACCATAAGATTAGGGTGGGAAAATATGTAAGGGTTAAATTAGTGTGTGTCAACTCTTTTATTATTATACACTTTTCCCCAAAGAGCATTTGTATGGAGACCTTTTTTCCCCTAATTTTAATGTCTTTCTATGATATTTTAATACCTCAAATACTATACCTCTTTTTATAGTCAAAAAAAAACATTACAATCTTTATGATTTTGTAGTCCCTCAAGAATAAATGGAATTAACAGAAGATATTTTTGTTGCACACTTCAGTTCAATTCAGAACTTTATATTTTAATCTGACAGTGCTTGTCTAGGGCTCTACTTGATAAAATGGGATACATTTAAAATATATGGTGTTATTCAATGGTTGTAGATTTCTGATTCACATAAAGATATATATATATTTTTTTTTTGTTTGGTTGTATGACTATATTTCAGTGAATTGAAATTGAAAGACCTCTTTATCTGACATGCCTCACAATTTGGGTGCAGGACTTGAGTTGTCTTTCATTTTAATTTGTAAAACTTTTGGAACAGCAGAATTGGTAAACTTTTGTACATAATAATTGGAAGGGATGTGTGGTATAAACAGTGTAAGTTGGGACTTATTTCCCTCTTGCGGGTGTGAGGTAGCCACAAATATCTTATTTCCTCCCTTTTATGAGACTAGAAAATCCTTTCTGATTAGATTTTTTTTTCAAAAAGAATTTTTCCAGGTACACTTTCTCTATTTTTTTCTTATAAAAGTTGATTGTGCTTGAGTAGGCAGCACTCCATTATGGTGACATAGCCATTTATGTGTGCAATTCAAGAAGAGATTTAATTAATTCATGAATCAAATGTAGTGAGGCTATGTCATGAAATGTTTGTATTTTAAAAAGACATTTAAAAAATGTTTCTTTCGAGACTATTCTTTTTCTTCTACTCTTGAAATTATCCAATTTCTAGGCATCACATGGTATAATAATCTTTGTGGGTGATGGTATCTCATATTCTAACATAGTACCCATGTAATTTTTTGACTCTTTATCTCCATTAAATTTATGAATAATGTCACATAAAGCCAGTATTATCTGACAAGCTTGGATCTAGAGCAGTGGTTCACAACCTGTGGGTCAGTCTCCACCCTTTGGAAGTCGAATGAACCCTTTCATAGGGGTCGCCCGATTCATACCAGTAGCAAAATGTCAGTTATGAAGTAGCAATGAAAATAATTTTATGATTGGGGGGTCACCACACATGAAGAACTGTATTAAAGGGCTGCGTCATTAGGAAGGTTGAGAACCACTGGTCTAGAGTCTCCTATTGTCATGGTGACTATAAAAGAATTATCCAGAACAGATACAGCCCACTTGCAGCATCCCAGCACTAGACCTGTGATCATAAGTTACCAGATTTTGATAAACAGTGGCCAACTTAAAAAGAAAACAAATAACGTCACATCTGCCAAACAGTGTTTTCTGGCCAATAATTTTTTATATATTCTTAGCGGTTTGTTTGGTTTTTAGCTTCAGAAGGAGTGCAGTTTGTGGATATTTCTGAGCAAAAGAATAAAAGCAATTCTGCAATCTAGATATCTTTAGGTGAGATGTGGATTTTAACGGAGAATCATAGGGTTATCTCTAAATCATTCATCATACTCAATTCTCCATTGCTTCTGATAATGGAAGGAACAGATCAATTAGTAGTAAGTTATTCATCGATTAATGTCTCTTAATACCAGCAAATTACCTAAGTATTATTAGAGCGCTTCATTCTAGTCATACATCACTTATCTGTACCAAGTGTACCTATTCATAATACTGCTATAAAGATTTTTATTTTTTTAAAAAAAGATTTTTTACAGGTGAATTTAGGAGACCCTTTAGTTAGGTTATATAAAGTATCTTCATTTCTTGGCTGGCTTAGTTTTGTTTTTTTAAATAATGAAACATGAATTGAAGGCGAAACTCCCCAAACTCAAGCACAATCACTTTGTTTTAATATTTGTTATTATCCCATATTGAAATGATATCTCAAAGCTGAAACTAGTTAAACAAATATGAAAGCTTCTGGGATTAGTTTACAGGAGACAAAAGTTAGGTAAAAATAAAAAGACAGTCTACCCTTTAGGCATCCTAAGTATTGATAAATGAAAGGATATAAGACTTAAGGTCATACTGTTTTGTTTTAAACTCCCTTATAGAAGAAATTGGGAGTTGTGTTGAAAGTACAGTCCACTCATTCTTCTGTCCTTCTAGGTTTTGGCACAAATAACAGTGGAAATAGCATTTTTGGAAATAAGCCAGCAACTGGGACTCTGGGAACTGGACTTGGAGCAGGATTTGGAACAGGTAAAGTTAGGAAGTGTGTGTGTTATAGCTTGGCTTTGTAATTACCAGAGCTTATGAACTCTGGTCATATGCCTGGAAATAAAGAGACCCATTTTTTACAGATTGGTTCATAAAAGATTGCCTGCCCTTGTACTTTACCAGGTCTTAAAACATGGCACATTTATTTTTTCTTCTCACAGTATTTGTTTCTGGAGCTTTTAGTATTTATTGTAAAACATGTCGATGTGATGATAATAGCTTTCAGTTTCCCTATGTTGCCTTTTAAAAGGGATTTGAGGTTTTGAACTATTTTTCAAGTAAGTTTTGTTATCCTAATGGTAAGGCAGATCAATGAGATCACATGCTGAAGTATTTTAACACATACTCTGACATTTTACAAGGTCTCTGCATACCCTTCAATTCTTTCCTTAATGTTACTAACCTGGAATGTCGCTCCTTTATCCCTCTTCCTACTATCAGCCAATGATTGTTTTTTCATGCCTTTGAAGAGAGTGATTCTTATGCTTCAAACAGTTGGAGAGGGTATGGTGGTCATCAAACGGATAAGAGCTTCAGCATGCATAGTTAAACAGGTTGAGTGTATGGCTCTGCATGCCTTCCATTTCTTATGAACATTTATTTCATGGTTTCTGCTTCCATTATCCAGTTAGCTGTTGTTTTTGCTTATAGAATCTGATCATTCATCTATCATCATTAAACAGAACTTCATTTTGTACTCTGTGGACTAATTTTTGTTTGCTTTTCCTTTTAAAACTAAAATATATAAATACTTGTTAAAATTTTCTAATGGTACAAAAGTATGAAAAGTCAAAACCTTCTAGCTGTTTAATAACTGCTGTTGACAAAAGTTTGGCATGTATCTTGTCAGACACCTTTCTACTTTTCAAACCTGTGCTTATCACAAACATTTGTACATGTATGTACTTTAATGTTTAGTTTTTGTTTGGGGTTTTTTGTATTCTTAAATGGAAGCTATACTCTACATGAGTGTTTTGAAACCAAAGGCTGAGATATAATACTTGATATTAATATTAGTATAGTTAGATTACGATGAGCATTAAAAAAACTAGATTTTTAAAATGAGTGTATACAGTAAGGTTTAGGATTAATAGTTTTATGAAATTTGTGTTTCAGGGGTAAGTGTGTCTTTGGAATCTCAGTTTATTTCATATTTGCTAAAGTAAAAAAAATGTTTGAAAATAAGTAGCTTGCCTAGTTTGTATTCTGCTACTTGTTTCCTCTCTGCACATGATTTCGAAAAAAGCATGTGTATGTATACCTATTGTTTCCCTATTTCATGAAGCAAAAGAATTCTATTATGTGTGTATCTATTTATATCCACACACGCCTATGCACATACCATTATTTTCTGGTATTGGTACTCATTTGATACTAGCAGTACTCAAATGAAGGTCCCTGTTACATAATTTTGTATATTACTGTTACTATAGGATTGTTATTTATAATTGATATTATGTCAAACTTGTGCATGTACTTTGGTAGCTCCTGTTAATTCATCTTTTGTAAAAAGACTGCCAGTTTGCATTCTTGCTCACAATGTATAAAAGTACCCACTTTCTCATTTGTTCTCTATATTGGACTTTTTCCACATTTAGCACCATTATAATGGACATTAGCATCTACAATTTGCATTGCACTAATTACTGTTGGGGGTAGATCTCTTTATTTATTCCATTTACCTGGACCCCTGGTGATATGTAGTGGGTTACATGTTGGGCTGCTAACTAAGCTCAACCGTTCGAAAATACCAGCCACTGAGAAAGAAAGGTGAGGCTTTCTACTCCCATAAAGCAGTTACAGTTTTCTTGTGCTTTGTATTTTATGAATATTAACTCTTTTTGCTTACATGGTAGAATCTCATTTCAGAATTTACAACTTTTCTGTATTTTACTTTCATACATTTAGCAAAAAAAACAAACAAACCCTTAACGTTTTAGATCTAGGCTTTTATTTTGTACAATGTGATTTCTGACCTTTGGGATTCTGCTAGAGAAATAAGATGTTTTCTTCTAACATCCTGGAGGGAAAAATGGCTTTGTAATCGGCAAGTAAAAGGACTTTTTCAAGAATTGTTTTGAATCTGAAGTTTGCAAACTGTGAACCTAAAACCTGAACAAGATGCTACTCTTGAGTCATAAGTATTTCAGCCAAATCCTTTGGGGTTGTCCCATACTATTGTCTGCGGTGTATTTCTTTATGTACAAGTTTTTATGTGTCCAGAGTCCTTTCCTCTTTAGCTTAGTAGGTTTTGCACCTCTTAATTAGGAACATGGTTCAAGTATAGTTTTTTTCTTGTACTTCTGTGAAAATCTAATAGTTTTCTTTTTACTTGGGTGAATATATTGAATTTTCCTTAAACAAGAGGAAGTTAAAAAGTATTGCTACTTTTATTAAACAAAAATATCAAGATGTGAAGTAACTTTCTCGTGATACCCTCCATCACTTAACACATCTCATCATAATGGCAATTTTGGCCATTACGTTCTTTTAAATATTCTTTGAATTTCGAGAACAAAATGAATTTAGAAGAGACAAGATCAGGGATGTGTAAGGGTAGATTTGGTAAGATTTGCCAATGAAAATTTCATAGGACAGTCCTTCTTACCAGAGAATGAGCAGGTGTACCATCATGATGCAATAAAGTTTCTTAGCATACTTTCCCTAGCCTTTTTCTCACCTGTGCACTTTCCTGTTTTCTTTAAACTTCTTCATAAGCTCCCCTACTTATGCTACCAAGACTACCCCTTGGGAATCCCCAAAATCAGTTGCCATAACCTTCTGAGCTGCTTCCTTTTTAACTGGCCCAATAGATGCCTTTTAAGCCACGGGTTTGATGAGACTTTTTTTTTTTTAAGGCACAATAATGAGACTAAGACAAGTGTATTGTGGAGAGTACTTTTCTACAGCCATTCACTGTTTTCTAAGATGTTTTAAACTTTTCTTTGGAATAAACCCATGTATGTGTGAACTGGAGCCCTGATAGTAATACTTTCTGACCTACCCTTGTATAGAAATTTACACTTTTATTGGTTATATGTTTCGCATTCATGTATGACCCATATAAATGGAAGATAATGACAGTCAGTAACATGTACCAACCCTACCTTTAGTAGCTGTAAATAATGTGGGGAAACAATGATGAAAATCAGCAAACACACATGGGATTTCTTGATTATCATATCTTTAAATTTTAGTTTTGAGTTACATGTGTTCTGACACTATACGAACGCCCATCTTCGTGACCTCTGTATGTCATGGGATCACTGTGCCTTCGGGCTATACTTTTGAGTATTAGCTAAGTGATTGGTTTTATATACCCTCTTGTTTTGAGTGATATTTAAACTCACGCCTCATTAGGAATAAGTTTTCTATAACTTGGACCTTTGGTTTTTCATGAGTAGTTGACAGTACAAACTAAATGTACAAAAAGGTATCTAGTAAAGCGGTTTTGTAACTTAAGGTTAATAGGAAATGTTTTTATGGCCCCTACATGTGTGATCCCTCTCCCCTCAGTCTGTTCAGACTAAGTAAGAAACATTCGTTAAATGATGGACATGCCAATTTCTTCTTTCACAGCAGTAATATCAACTACCTGTATTACATACTTTTTTCTAGTAGTTATTTGGTAATATTATGAAGAAGTTTAAATTCTTGACTTTTCCATGAAGTGTAGTACTCTGGTGGCGTAGTGGTTATGCATTCTGCCAGGACCTAAAAAGGTCAGCATTTCAAAACCACCAGCCACTTCACAGGAGAAAGACAAGGCTTTCTACTCTGTGAAGAGTTAGAGCCTCAAAGACTCACTGAGGCAGTTCTACCGCACTCTATAGGGTTGTAGCAGTCAGCATTGATGCAATATCCAGGAGTAATTTTAAGGGCATATCTAGTAAAGTTGATTTCTCTACTAAAAATCTATACACGAAGATCTTGTACCCAAAGCTAATAGATACCATAGATAAAAGTAAATTTGTAACATAATAAAAAACTTTTTTTATAACATAATTATGCCAAACCACACAGAACAGGCTCACAGTGTCCTACAACTTGTGGATTTTCATGAGTAGTTGATGTTACAAATATTAAATGAATATATACTTAGGGTCAAAATGTGTATGGAAAAGCAGCCTTTATACATTGTTGGCTTAAGTGACCAACCCTAGTATAAAATGTTTATATTGTTTGTAAATGTGTGATCTTTCTTTCCTCAATATGTTGAGACTAAGAAACACTCATTAAATGATAGACATTAATTTCTTATTTCATAGTGATATCAATTCTTTCATTAAGCATTTAATATGATAGAACTGGGTAAAATACATGCTTTTTTTCGTTATAAATTGCAACAGTATGCACTCGGAATATTTTATGACTTTCTTTCTAGGTGAATGTCACCTCCCACCAAAGCCTTGTTTACAGTTTAATGGATTTTTAAAATTATAGTGGTGGTTAGATTGTTTCATAGGTATGCATCAAGAATTGGTGCAAAAGCAAGGGAAGGAACACAAACTCATCCCCAACAAATTTTTCCTTTTTGTGTGTGTGTTTGAGTTTCATATAAGTTTTTGATCAGAGGTAGGGAGCTATTTGGCTACCATTCATCACCATCATTATCATCCTGAAAACTGCTGTAAATGTCGTGTTCGAGTGAGTAATAGGATTTTAGTATTTCAGGAAGCTTACAGAATATATTTTCCCTGCTTTGAGACTTTAAAAGAAGTTTGAACTACACCCTGTCATAAGGTTGGGCTTTCTTTCTTT